TGCAAGGCCGGCAAATCGTCAGCGCCGAAGAGGGTGGGTGTTGATGAACAGAAATCAATCCAAGAGGAAGATCAGCGAAGCGGAGATGGAAAGTGGCCGCGCTGGCCGGCGTCTGAGCACGGACCAACTCCGCCCAGTCTCCGCATTCCCGCCGCCTCAATCCAACTTGACTCTTCCGCTTCATCTGAGTCCAGACGCAAGCCGCCGAATCAACCGGTCCTCTGGCAACTGCCCCTGCAATCGGATATTTCACATAAAGAATGGCCGAAGCAGGGCAACCACGAACTCTTACGACGGCCTTCGCTCCGCCCCCGCCATTATGGAAACACTTCACCCCCGATAACATCAAGCGATTCGAACGAATCAAGAAAGAAGCTTCCAAAGGCGAGGATGGCAAGCCGCGGAAGAAGAAATGGACGCCAGCTGAGCTCCGCGAACTGGACCTTCCACCTGAGCTACGATGTCTCGTACCACCAGCAATCCCGACGTCCGGACATTATAGCGTTTTCGGGGAGCTTCAAAGCGTCAGTCCTCGTACCTCCCCGCATATCATAGGCCCGCTACTCATATTCTCGTCTAGTTGTCCACCGCTTTACCATCGCTCCAAGAACAAGGAATCACACAGCTCTATCCCTCGACCCCGCCTGCCGAGACCGATGAACAAGAACCATCCCAACCGACACGGCCATTGAACCACGCATACTATCTACTCAAAATCAGCAAGTCCCTCCTATTGAACTTCCTAGAATTCGTCGGCATCCTCTCGGTCGCTCCGGAACAGTTCGAGGCCAAGGTGGAAGACCTGCGCAATCTGTTCATCAACGCCCACCACCTCCTGAACCTCTACCGGCCGCACCAGGCTCGCGAGTCGCTGATTATGATGATGGAAGAACAATTGAACCGAACGAAGCAGGAGGTTGAAGAAATGGACAAGCTCAAGGCAGAAATCACGGGAGTTCTGGAGCGGCTCGAGGCTGACGGCCAAGCTGCGCAAGCGTCAGCGCAGGCCGACAAGGATAGCAAACAAAGTCTGGCCACGGACGAGCAAGCTGTTGAGGATGCAAAACTGGTCTGGGATCTGTTGGACGAGAAGATCAATAGTTGAGCTTTTTCTACAAGATCGCTTTTTTTTCCCGGCATCCTACGTCCCGCAGCTTAGTGCTGCCGAGTCTAGCTGCTCAGCTGTACTACAAAAGCGCGATTCAGTCCCAGATCAGCTCCAATAGGGGGAGAAACTGGGCAAAATCGATCATGACTCATGACTATTGGTAAAGTCATCGAGTCTACACCGAGATCTTCAGGTCGTGCCGGCCGACCGCAACATGGCACCTCGCGCTGCGCTGCGCGGAGCCATCCGCATTCATTCCGGGCCGTCATTGTTCCTTGTGCGATCACGTGTCGCACTAATCCCGCGCCTTTAAATTTCTCTACTCATTTTTCCTCCCGCCGTGATCTTTCATGATACCTCCTTGGTCAAGGCGTTATGATGGCCTACCTCAGCAATGCAATTCAATGAACTCTTTCAGCATCGCATCTCGATTTTGTCTACTGTACTAATGGTAAGCTCCACCAGAACACCCTCCCACATCCTCAATCCTACTATGATGATTTGCGTTTATTTATGTTTCAACCCCATCTGAGAGTACTTTTGTACTTTTTGATTACAATTACGCATCCTTCATTCGCATTCTTCTGAAACCAAGCTCTCAAAGCTTGTCTTGCCTGCATATCAGCCATTACTGTCATTCAAGTGATTTTGAACTGCATTGCTGACTTGCCCCAGTTTCCAGGATCCCTTGCTACAGTATATGATGAATAGCTCAAATGACAATGAAATCTTTTTTTATAAGATCCTGTCTCCTTTTTGTATTCTGTAATCGGTTTCTTGCCGCTATTATATGTGTGTAGTAGCGTAGTTTCGATCATTGCTCATGTCAATGCCCTCATCGAAGCATGAATGATCTATGCTCGCGTGCGTCTGGCTGTATGTGCCCTCCCCACATCTCCCTTTATACGGCTGGAATCACCCAGATCTATAAGTCTCTCCGTCCTCTATATATGCCAGGTCTGTACAAGCACCTTCTAGGCAGTAGACTCCAGCGCAACGACCCTCTTGAAGTAACTCAACAAAGACAATCCCGACCCGCGCAATCCAGCGCCTCACGCCAGACCCCTCTAACAAGAAAATCAAGAATTATCAAGCAAAGAAGAAGAAAAGAATAGAGGGAGACTACGCAGCAGCCCGCTCATTCCAGGCCTTCTCGATCGCGCAGCTAGCCAGTCGATACAGCTCCGTCACGAAGTCGGCGACCATCTTGATGTGCACGATCTCGTTGACCGAGGTGGGCTGGCGCAGGAAGATCCGCTCCATCATGCCCTTGGCCGTCTTGAGGAGGCCCAGGTCCTTGGTGGCCTGCGGGTCGGTGGGGTTCTGCAGGATGTTGCAGAAGATCGCGAGGAGGGCAGACATGGGGTAGAAGATGAGGGTCCTGTTTGCGGGGGTTAGAGGATGCTATTTCATTTGTGTGCTGGTTGAAACGGGAACAGGCGAAGGAGAGGGAGAAATGCCAAGTGGGTTGGCTGGGTGGGGGGAGGAAGGGACGAGACTAACCAGAATATGCCCGCCACCAGAACGTGCTCAGACGCCTGGAGATACAGCAAGGTGGAGCGGCTCGCTTCGACCGAGAGGGCCAGGCTGGAATTCACGCCGTCCATGATCCCGAACTGGTCCTTCGTCCAGGACTGGCAGCGGCTGCTGGCCTGGTGGATGATGGTCATGCACAGGTGGTAGTTCAGCCGCAGCATCACCTTGTGCATGTTGGCGTCCGGGTCCGGGGTCTCCTGGGAGAAGGAGAGCGTGGGGCGCCACTGCTGCGGGATCGAGAGCCGCCAGCGCTCGAGGTCGTCGTCGAGCTCGCGGATATCTTTCAGAAGCTCCGCATCGGTCTTCTTCAGCGCCCGGAACGAGTACAGCGCGCTGTACGCCCGCGACTTGATGATACTAAGCCGGATGTCCACCGGGTAGAGCGGGTCCTCGTCCGTCTTGCGGGTGGGCAGCATGCAGTCCGCGCCGTGCGCGTGTAGGGTGTCCATGTAATTGGGGGGTAAGGTCAGGTCGCAGTTGTCGTCGCTGAAGGTCTGCGGCTGCCCCGTGCGCAGGGAGACGTCCTTCTCGAACGTGTAACAGAGCCAGAAGATGCGCCGGATGTGCTGCTGGGTGCGCACGCTAGTCTCGTCGGGAAGCGACGCCAGGTACTCGGGCGAATAGCAGAACGCCGTGTGACCTCCAAGGATGAAGATCATGCGAGCGGCTAGCCCGCCGTAGTAGTTTGCGGATTGTAGGTTTCCGGTCACAAGCTCGTACACTGCCTATGTGGGGTTAGCAAACGATATGCAAGCATCATCCCCTGTGTGAGCAGCAATGACCAGCAAGAGACCCATTGATGGCATCAAATGCTTTTGTTGATAGGTAAGGCAGGATGTACAATCCGAAAGGCGTAGACTTACCAGCATGGTAATCACTTGCAGTCCTTCCAGGGAACTTGTTTCTTGCAAGATCTGAGGCACGAGATACTGCGCCTTGACAATATAAGCCTCGTTATCCACCGGAACCAACCCTCTGTGTAGTTCATACTCAGGGGTGGGTATGAGACTTGCAAAAGCCACGAACGCAAAGATGGAGGCTCGAACGCTTGCCCTCTCATATGGGACCCGGCCATGTGGCTGCTCGTATGCTGCGTTGATGGTCTCTCTGTACAAGACCGGATCCAAAACCGGGAAGATCAGCCGCATCAATGTCGAGCAAAACATGTTATAGTAGCTCTCGACGATGTGCCGTTCTGGGAGCTCAAATGCGTTCTCTGTGGTGGAGTTCATCATCAGAGCATCGTAGTTGAACGCCCTCTGTCGTTCCCACGGAGTCCTGACAGAACTGACTAGCCTGCTGAATGAGACATTCTGGCCCGTCCTCGCTTGAACCCATTGCCTTCCCTCTGGTAGCAATAAAGGAATACCGGTGAACAAGTTGAACACACCGAGCTCGCGCCCTGCAAAGTGCAGAGCCACCGACGACGAGCCCGAGCTCTGCTTGTAAGGCGCGGGAGAAGCCTCGGAGGATGCATCTGGAACACTGCTTGGTGCACGAATCCGCACATTGTCGTCTCTTCCGGCCGGGGCTGCTTGACATCAGTCAGCGAAGCCGAAGAGGCTATGCTCAATTTCGACGAACCCGGTTCATTCATCAACTTGCTGCCCAAGAGCTTCTCTATCCGCTCAATTCGCTCGGCTAGATCTGATGAATCTCCTGGACTAGCGTTCCTACGGTCGATTAGATTTCCCCCGGGTCAAGCAAATGAGTGTCTTCTGGATTCGGTGGCCATGCATACCCCCTTACAGGTTTAGCGATCTTCCGCTTCCTCACGGTCACCCTCTCGAACGTGCACGGAATGTCATGATGACTACACCAGTTACATTGCGGCTGCGCGCCATCACATTTGATCTACAGGACGTCAGAGACCAGAAAGAAGAAGTACAGTCCAGGTGGCGAGGCAGACCTTTCTTTTGAAGCACGAGTCGCACGCCCTCGCAATACGTTTCCTGGGCCTCCGGATCTCCTCGTCAGACTTCTCTGCCGAGGACGGCGAGGGAAACATTTAGATGGGGGTATAAATGCTTGAAGCAGTCTATCGAGGTTGTAACGATCTATAAGGGTCTGATATGCCGAAAGAAAAGGTTGCACAACCACAGAAGATCGGATGAAGAAACCCGGTCTTCCGATGCCGCTGACAAATCTCCTCGTGGCAGGTTCTTGCTGCCTTGTGTGCTTTGTAAGCGGACCGCGACTTGGAGCTCGGCCATTCTATTTCCGACTTCCCTTGAATATCTTCACCATTGCATTGAAAGACCCCAATGTATATGAAATGCACTCAATGCCATACGGAACCTTCTCAAAATTACTTGAATAATTACCAAGGCGAAAGGTAGCAGGCTAAATAAAGAGAAAAGTAAACGAACAGCCCAACAAACCACGATGGCACCGCTAATTCCACCAACCCCCGGCCCACGCCAGCATTTTCATTAATCATCAAATCTTCAGACCTTCGAGACAGTCTTTCAATACAAGTCTATTTGAGGCCATTCAAAGTCTAATCGTCGGCGAAAAGACTGCCACTCATGTACTTAAACCCAGTATCACAAGCGACCGTGACAACCGTCTTTCCCGGCCCCAGCTCTTTCGCCAGTGCAATCGCAGCGACAACATTCAACCCCGTCGACGTTCCAACCAACAAACCCTCTTCTCTCGCAAGTCGCTGACACATCTCACGGGCGTCTTCCTCCGGTATGCCGCGCGCCTCATCATAGAGCTCCCGATCCAAGTGTGCGGGCATGTACCCGAGCCCAATCCCATCGACCTGGTGCGACCCCGCGCGACCTTCAGTGATGACAGGGGAAGACGCCGGCTCAAGCACTACCACGCGCGTCTGGGGCCATTGGGCCTTCAAGACCCTGGAGACAGCCATCGCCATGCCCGCACCGCCCACAGCGCCGCAGAAGGCATCGATTCCGTCCGGAAACTGCTGCAGTAATTCCCTGCCGATGCCCTCGTAGCCAATCAGCGCGTCGTGGTTGGTGGCCTGATTCGTGTAGAAGTAGTTGTCGCCGGTGTCAACGATCTCTTGTGCGCGTCGCATCATGGACGGGACCAGATCGGGCGTGATCTGGCCTGAGGGACTGTGGATGAGCTCGACCTCCGCCCCCAGGGCACGCATCGTCCGGATCTTTTCGGTGGCGAAAGCGTCGGACGAGACCACGAGGAACTTGTAGCCCTTGACGCCGCAGATGAAGGCGAGCGCGGACCCGGTGCTCCCACCGGTGGCTTCGACCACGGTCATTCCGGGTCGGAGGTCTCCGCGTCGCTCGGCTTCTTCAATCATCGATCGCGCCATTCGGTCTTTGTGCGAACCGGTGGGATTGCCGGTTTCGACTTTGAGGTAGACGTCGGCATGGTTATTGGGGACGACTTTGCGGAGGCGGACCACCGGCGTGTTGCCGATCAAAGCTAGGCTGGAGGATACAGTTGTGGGTGCGACGGTCATGGTGCTTGCTTTTGCAGTACGTATACTGAAGGGTGTTGGCTGGAGACTGAGAAGTTGCTGGTGGTTGAAGCCATGGAGCTCGTACTGAGAGATGGATCAACGTGAGTCACGCCGAGGTATACCCGAGTCTATTTCACTCGCTAATCAATAAGAACGCTAATGAAGAAAGGCGAGGGTCTCGACCCTGAGGGTCGGACCCTCTTATCGAACATGAGAATAATGAGTGTGCGGAGACATGCCGAGAAAGAGTCATGCCAAGACTAACCGCGGAAAAGTCATCACAAACAGCTGCAGATCAATCCACCTCAAAAACAGAAAACAAGAGAAGACCATAGATCATCAAGCGGAACCTTCACAAGCAAGCTTATAGGTATAGTGAGTTAAGTGTTCATGGAACGGTATTCACAAAAAGATAGAGTATGGCGCTGCCCATACCTTGCCCTCTACCTGGCCTGATTGGAGTCAAATGAGCGCTCAAGTATCTTGCCAAGTGCAGGGGGAGTCGAGGTATCTATGGGCCAAGTTGTTCCCGAGTGGTGCGGAGGTGTCATGTTACTACTGACATTGGTGGCTGGTTTCTCGTTCCCAGTCGTCGGAGGACTATCCAATACCTTTCTCGATCTTTTGCCAACACCTTTGGTCTTAGGAGACTTGATCGGAGTAGCAGACGGCTCATGACGTAGCCTCGCTCTGAGTTCCATATCTTCTTGAGGGGCTGGAGAAGACTTGGGTGTCTTTGTATCGATTCTTTTTGGAGTCGATGGCGGTGTTTTCTCCGCAGCTTTCTTCCTAGTACACTTGGTCGGAGTAGTGCATGACTTCTTGACTGAATCCGCTCCGGCTTTACTCTCTTTGCGAGGGGACTCGGATGCTTCAGTGTCTTCAGTCCGGGCTATCTCGCGGTTCGGCGCAAATGATACCCACAGGAACAAGATAGCAGAGACAAGAAGGTCAAAGACTACTCCAAGCGACAAAAATGCTGCATGCACCACGGATATTGCGTCCGACGATGCTGGGATGGGTAAATCGCCATAAAATATGGCGGAAATGAGAAGCCTCGCCCATATGATTATCAAAAGGAACCTGGCGGGCCTTGTCAAAGAGTGAGACGTGCGAGTGTCTTTGATTAGAGCAAGGAATGCTTGGTATCTGTACCTGGCCCGCGCTGGGTTAGTCCATGCTTCCCATCCTGCTCGAATGCAACAATCTTTTGCCTTCGGGTCTGATGTGGAAGTCCGGTTGACCTTGCACGTTTCGCACAAGAAAAACTTAGAAGACTGGCTTTGAAACAAGTCCAGTCGGTCTTGCCAGACAGTCTTCAATACTCCACCACGGGTATATGGCTCATACGTTCGCAGCCAGATTTGCCAAGATTTGATGAGTCCAGACGCATGAGCTATGTCAACATCGAAGTACTCTCTGTGCCTCGTCCCGCAGTTGCAGACATTATTAGATCGCCGGTTGTGTAGCTCGATCAAGACCAGTCTCTCCACACATTTGTACCCTCTGAAGGAGTCGCCATATTTCAGTTCCCAGTTTTCGCGCTTGCAATTTGTTTTGTGTTGGTCTTCTCGTCCTTTGGGATTCGATGTATGGCCGACCTTCACAGACGGATTGCTAGGTTCAGATTCTGGATCATAGAACGTGTACACATATCCTGGCTGATCATCACACCTTTTGCCTAGTGCTTCGATCATTTTCTTGATCATATCGTCCTGATCGAGATGCTTCACTTGTATCACATCGGCTTCCTCTGCGTCGGAGTCGTACTCTGACGCCGAGGGCACTAGGGTTCCTCCCTCCTCACTGATGCTACCATTCGGGGATGGCAGTCCATAGGGCTCCTGATTCTGATATGGAGAGCCATGCGGCTCTTTTGGTATTTCAGGCGCTCTGTAAGAACGACCTGTCTTTTGCTTCGCCCAATTCTCCCATGTTTGATCGTTGATCGGGTTTGAATGACCCCTGCGTGTCGGAGTTGCAGCTGGAAACCCTTCTTGTTGTTCGTCGAATGACTCTCGAGGGGTGTTGCCGGCCAGATCAGTCTGAGTCTCTGATAGCAAGCAAGAATATCCTGGTTCATCCTGGACAGGGCTCTTATCCCCGAAATAACCCCTTACGTGGGCAACAATAAAAGGGAGCCAAGTCGACATTGCTGAATGCTGGGGCTCGAAGATTGGCGAGAGATGATGATACTGGTTCAAAGTATAGCCATGTTGTCGCTTATATAGCACCTTCGCTCGGCTTCGACCATCCTGAGAGCCGACTTCAGCTGTGAGGGGTAACGGAAGTGTAGCGTGTGAGGCTGTACCCCTGTCGGTACATGACTCTCCCCAAATAACTTACATCGTGATAGGGACCGGCTGCCCTCGAAATACAAAGCTAGCAAGGGGTGATAGTGCCTTGACTGGACTTATACCTGGTCAGGTGCAGTAGTCGAGACGCTGGCCCGCTTAGTCTACCGTTGGCTTCGCGTAGCTCGCCATACTTGACCCCCAAGCGCTTATGTGTGGCTTAACTTTGAGGCGCATAAGCCGTGAGGTTACTTCCGACCTTCAACCCGATTGCAATCATTGACCCTGGAGTGTTACCATCTCTAGGCCCCAGCGTTTGTGGTTGTGAACGATTCCTGCCGTGAAATGCCGATCATCGTGCTGTGGCAGTGCTGAGCTCACCGGCGTTGGGAACTTCGAAAGGCTGGTAAACACAGACCTTGCGATTATTGATAAACCTCATGAACATGATTGGAGCTCTCGCACAGGCCCCAGATGTCTGGCCCTGTCAAATGAGATGGATGTTAATAGATCGGAGCTGAACCCACCTCCTTCGGCATCTTGCCCATCACAGAGCCCCGCACAAATCTATCGTACCCAGAAAATGGCATGAGTATCTGTTAACATTTACTTCGACGCCCAATAAGGTGGTGGCTCGACCCGTTCTGTCTTGTTAGTGAAAATGAGCACTGCTGGGCCGTGGCTCCATTACAGAAGAGAACGAGACTGGAACCATGGAGAAAAAGAAGACTTTGATTCGGAAACGAAAACAGTTATATACGCTATGTTGAGCAATCAATGGAGGGATATCAAGACAGGGAAAGAAGCATCATGTCATCGGAGTGTTAATCTGTCACCCATACACCCGAGAACACGCCACCGGACAGACAGTTGTGTTGTTATTCGTTGGAAGGAGGTCGGTCGCTGTGCTGGGAGTATTCGTGGCGCAGCAATATCGTGCTTGTGCAAATAGCGGGATAAGCGTAAACGCTAGTTCTATGTATGTCTGTTAGTTGTCTATTCCAGTCGGGATCCTCTGGGTGAAAGTAACATACCACATCACAGTGCAGATACAGCAGTCGCATTCTTCGTCACCGCAATCACATCCGAAGCAAGGCTTGGATACTGTCTTGATGGGTTTCCTAATCGAAGACCCCGAGCTGGAGGAGGGGAGTGTGAAGTTGACGGGAGAGGAGAAGGATCGGACGCTCATCGTGGGCGATGTTTAATGGAATGGATGGAAGTATTTGATGTGGTTCAAGCTAGATTGCAGCAGGCAGCTTTGGAGACGGGCTGGTTGGAGAAAAGGAACCAGGAACAGAGAAGGGCGAATAAGTATGAGAGTTGGAGAGAGAGAGCAACCAACGGTCGGGGCCCAGCCATCAACGTCATACGTGGGTCACGATCCTCAGGCTGTCAGGCTGTCAGGCCGTCGCCCCGTCCGGTCCGCCAAGCCTTCCCTTTTTCGCTCCGCCTTTCCGTAGTTACTCCGTTCTATCGACAACAACAACAACAACAACAACCACAACCACACAATAGCCGTGTCATTTTCATACTAGATTGACTAAGAAATCACTTTTCCCTGTATTTTACAACGGATCCTACTCCTAAAGCCTCGGGTGGAAGACTGCTGCCCTCCCGTCTGCCCTCGCAGTGAATGTGCGAGCGACGTTGATGAAGTCGTCCCACTTGGCGCCAGACAACATCGGAGCCGTGCAGTACGGCTCAATGCCGAGATCATTGAGATGCCTATTAAGTTTTGACATGACAGCATCGCATGCTGTACTCTCCATCTCATACTGGGCAGCTCTGCTCAGCCCCAAACACTCCATGTACCAGCTAGGATCACTTCTCACCGCCTCCGACTCATACATGGCCAACAAGTCACCGTCCACCCCCCGCTTGGCAGCAATCTCAAAAGCCATGCGCTGTCCGATCGCCAGCATCACTGGCCGACATCGAGGCAAGATGAACTTATTATACTCGGTGCTTCGATGACTCTCAAAGGTTTTGAGAAGCTCCCGTAATTCAGCTATGATACCGCTCTCATGTTTGGCCAACAACGACGTGGGGTTTTCTGCTTCGGGGATCTCACAACGTTCGAGCAATATCTCTGTGGCATGGCCTAATAATAGCTCAGAGGGGTTCGTACCCAGTGGTTCTATAGGTCACAAATGACTTACGGATGCAAAGAACTAGGAGCTCCCCCTCTGCGATGCTCGTACATCGTGTCAGAGACTGTCGTATGTCAGTAGAACGGCCTGAGCAATTGAGCAGTTAGAACAGCACACCTCTACGTTTGCCATCTGGTTCTCAGGAAACATTCCCTGCGCCCCACTTCTCTCGACTAAGGCACTGAGGCTTTCCTGTCCATTATACACGAACAAGGACTTGAGCGCCGCGCTCAGTGCATGCCTAGACATGACGCTGAGGGATGAATTGTTCTGCTGGGACACTACCCACTCCACTAGCGGCTCCATGACGGCAACGTGGGCCAAGGCACGCGCGATCGGCAGTTGCTGAGTCCTGAAGCTGAGAATCGGGACTCTTTCCCTATGAACACCCTCCTGGACTGTTCGCTGTTGACTGTACTTTCCCGCAGTAAACGCCGCACATTTCAGGAAAGGGATAGTCCACAGGCTCAATGCGAGAGATCCAAGCCGGAGTTGGCCAATGGCGAACAGGAACTGAGCACGCAGATTGCCAGGCTTGGCTAGGTCTCCAAGCATAGCACTTGCTTCTAGACGCACATGATCAAAGGTCGTCAGGCTATGGTCAAGCATTTCGCCGCAGCCTATCGGCGGAAGCAGCCTAGATAAATTAGACAACAATTCAGCCTGCAGGCAGTCAATGGTCACTTGCCATGACTTGACACCTTGGCACATCCGATAACCGTCATTGATGGGAACCACGAAAGGTCGAATCCCTCGATCTTCTCCCTCGACGAGAAGGCGTGCCATGACCAATGCAACTCGGGGAATTCCCGCCATCGGCATGGATGGTGGCATGAACCTTTTTTTCTCAGTATTTGCATGTTCCGTTGGCCATGGTTCACATACTTGGCCGCGTTCCGGTTCGGGGTGTTCAAGATGAACCCGCCATCCGACTCCCATGTGGCAGTAGTCTCCAGATTCCTTGCGTCACACCCATGACCAACTTCGTTCAGCATGAAAGCCCCACTGCAGACAAGGCATATGAGCAAGAGTCTACACAATCCTTAACCAAGGCTTACCATATATCGAACTCAAGAAACTCCCTGATAAGAGGATCCAGATCCGGTCTCTTCTTCACATAGGTGGCGAGAGTGCCCACGACAAGGTTATACTGAATGCTCAGATTGATGTGCGCGACCGGGTCCCGTACGATGATACCATCCATGTGAGCACGCTGGGACTTTGGTGAAACACGAATGACGTCGTCCAAGGTCAATGCTAGACCACATTAGCCTGGAAGCTTAAGTATGGGTTTGACTGACCCCAATGTTTGGCAATGGCCCTGGCTCGCAGGTAAGAAAGCTCTAGACGTTCTCTCCGTGAGGTATTCTTGTAGTGGAGCTGAAACAGCTCAGTTGAGAGAAGATCAATCGTTGATAATGGCTGCATATTGGAACGCTCCGTCCTTTTCTGAATTCGGAATAAGCACACTCGGCATGGACTTTCAAGAGGTTTGACGTACTATTTGTACTAGGCCATGCGAGGTTGCGTCGTTGATCTTGCGTCACAGATGACCTACGCCACCAGCCGGTCTCCGGCTGAGATGCATCAGCATCTATGGAGCACGGGATGTTTTGCCGAACGAAGCATTATACTTCAAAATCCCGGCTAGACTCAACAATACCGGTTTTGGCTTTTTTAGGCTTTCTGGAGCCAGGCTGTACTCCGGCAATACCAGGAAGCCTTCTTTCTAATCAAGGATTAGGAAAATGCTTACTTGTTTCCAGTTGTGTACATTCTGGAATAAAGAACAATATACAGCCGAACCTGGACTCTTGCCAAACTTGGATAATATTTCTGTTTAAGCCATGACCAAAAAGAATGACCTCCAGCCAGAAGCCCCAGCGCCAGGACAAACCCGGAATGATATATCCGCTGATGATCGGGGTCAGATTGACGGAGACGATGACGGCAAAATTCCAGAGCCCGACGCGCAGGCCCCGTTCGTGCACGTGGAGGACCTCGTTGTTGGACGATGTTCCGGCTAGAGCAAAGAATCTTCCCATACCTAGTCCTGTTGGTCATAGAGGATCTCAGTATGTTGGTATCGTAGAGAGGTTCTTGGATATTGGCGCAGACCTTGGAAAACACAGGATGCGATCAGCGAGGAGTACGACTTTGCAACCGCAGCCCAACAGCATGAGATCAGGACCAAAAGCGTGGTGAATAAGTCCACTGGGCGTCTGCCGAAGCAATTGGCAACAGGGGAGCAGACGTAGGCGCTGACGCCCAGGACCATGATAAGACTGCCCTTCAAGAGGGTGACGCTGGTCAGGCTGACATGGATATCTGCCGCGACGAACACAAAGCCTGGCACAATCAGGGGCCCTAGGTCGCCTGTGGCGCATGAGCCCCGGATAATGGCGGCGAAGAGCAGTTCCCGGCGAGTTCGGGTCCAGTCACTCGGGGCTATTGGGGATGGTGACGGTCGAATCCTCAGCATTGTGTTGCGTGCGTTCTTTGAACTCGAGTTGGTTGTCTAGTCAGGCTTGCAGCGCGCCATCCTACCCCTTAATCCATCTATGCACTTATTTAGATGCGCACACATACCTTGATGCCGGGATTGAGTTTAAGATCCATCTGGTTTCTCTGGGCGGATGTTGTTCTTCCGCCCGGGCCCTTAGAAACAGTTGCTTATCAGATCAATCGGGGCTTATCGCCGCAGCGGAGGTCTGCTGTCAGGCAATTGAACAATAAATCTGACATCCCCTCTAGCACCTGCGCCCTCTACCTTATCTAACCTTCAGATAGAATGAGAACGGCCGTCACCGTCTTTTCCCGTGCCCGGAAGAAACAGCGTTTACGGCTTAGGCAGAGGAGGGCGGATGCGGGGCCGCGCACGGTACGGGCATTTTCATCGGTTCGGTTGGTTCACCGGCACGAGGTACTAAAGTCAGTGCATTGAGCGTCTGTGGTCTACTCCATATAGAAGATCTAGCGAGGAGGGGAAAGACAGGCTGCATCGTACGGCTTGAGCCGTTGGGTGAGTCGTGCAAGTCCACTTGTTGTCGAGGCCTCTCCGGGTGAGAATCCAGTCTAGTATGTGTACCCCCACGCATCTCAACCTGGTCTCAAACTTTGGCATGTTCGGCCTTCGTGAAGCCATCGGAAGTAAATGACTTCCGCAAAGCTGCTCAGCCTCAAGGGTGGTCAGACACCCGGAAACACTACACGTCCTCTGACAGCTCGTTCCGCATTGCATTTCTTTTGGGTTCTTCAGATCCGTGGGAGGAGTCCAGAGGGACCCTCCACTACCGCGGCTCCTTCAGCATCAAAAACCGAGTCACCTGCGACCCATCGGTCAGATCCTTCGTCACGGGATGGAGACTGTACCCAAACAGCCAGGGCAGCACCGCAAAGCGCAGCAGATAGTACACCACGCCGAGCCCCAGGATCCCCAACGCCACGACGGGACTCAACCAGTACGGAATCCGGGATGCACTCGAGTTGGGCGGCACAAACGGCATGGCCAGGAGGAACTTTCACACGCGATCAGCCTTACGTTAGCCTAGCCAAACAATCCGCACCTGGGTGATTGGGACGGGACGGAGGGGAATGTACGGTGTTCGCGGCAAGATAGAACCCGATCACCGGCCACGGCGCCGGGTAGGAGGACGACCACCCTTCCCCGGTCCGCGTGAGGCGCATCCTCACCAGCCCCACCGTGATGGCCGTCAGCATCAGACACATCGGGTACGAGGAGAGCCCGACGACGAAGCTGAAGGCGTCGCCCGCGGGCGGGGCGCAGATGAACAGGACCGTCACCCCGAGGTGCACGATCAGCGCGGCAATGGGGGTCTTAAACGGCCGGTTCTGCATCATGATGTCCGGGAACGGGGCGATGCCGTCTTTGGCGAGTTCTTGGAGGAGGCGCGCTGCATTTGGGGATCAAACTCAGCTGGAGTGGGGATTCGGAGGGGTTTTCGGGGGAACGAGAGAAAGAAGACTTACGGACGACGAATGCCACTCCTAGGAGATGGCCGAGGGCGGATAGCGCTACGAGGGCGGGCAGGGCTCGCGTGGCGGCGGTCTCGCCGAAGACGTTGCGGAACAGGCTGGCTGCGATCGTGACGCTGGCGGTGCGGAATTCCTCCTTGGGCACGCCGGCGAACTATTGTCCAGTGGAACGAAGATCAGTTATGGCCTTCTAGGGCAGTGGGAATACTCACATACGCCACGTTGGCGAGGACATACAGCACGGTGATGATGCCCATGGCGCAAGGCAGGGCGATTCGGAGGGTGTGTTCGGGGTTCTTGACCTCCGACAGCACGGCATTCACATTGTCGTAGCCCTGGTACGAGAAGATGGCGTCGAGGAGGGCGGTGCCGATATCGTACCCGTTGTTCGAGGTGCCCTCGAAGGAGGTCTGGAGGTCGAAGTTGTGGGGTTTGGGGATGCGGAGATGCCCCGCCAGCGCGGCAAACCCCGTGCACACGATGAAGAGCAGCGTGAAGAGCTTGACCATGCTCAGCACATCCTGCATCGCCCGTCCCACGCGAGGCGCCACCGTGTGCACGCCCACGGCGAAGGAGACCGCTGCAATGGCCAGCCCGCGTTCCTTCCAGGTCGTCGACTCCACCCCGGCGGCGGACAGGAGGTACTCGGCGGCGGTGATGGCGTTGCTGGCGGAGACCTGCAGGAACAGGCAGAAGAAGAGGTAGATGCACGTCTGCATGCGCTTGGGGGCGAAGGAGCGTTCCAGGTACACCTTGATGCCCCCGGAGCGAGGAATCCCACTGCCGAATTCCAGCATGACCAGTGCTCCGCAGGCGGAGATGATCCCCGCAATCACCCACAGCAGTAGCGACAGCCCGACACTGCCAGAGAGCTTGAAGATGGTCGAGGGGGTGGAGAAGATTCTATCCTCTGTGAGCAAGAAACAAAATGTCCTTGGATTGGCACATCAACGGACTAACCCGGCGCCTATAATCTTGTTGACAATCAGCGAGATGGCTCCCAGCACTCCAATCTTGCGATCCTGGAGCACATGATTCTCGTTGACGGTGAGTCGCTCCCCACGCTTGAGGCTGTCATCGTCAGGGTGAGACTGGGATGAATGTGTCTGGACCGTCGCCTTGGAGATTATGTCGCTGCCCATTTTGACTCCAGCCTGGAATGCACAGCCATAGCCCCGGGCTCGGAACAAAGTAGTTTATATACGTACTGATCTGATCAAACCCTAGTCCTGATCAGCAAATGACGTGATAGACGCCACAACCTGCAAGCTCGTGGAATCCTGTCGGCTTCACTCCGAAGTAAATCAAGCTGCCAAGAGGGCTAACTCTTAGTGGATGAGTTCACCTGCAGCTGGGATGGCGTTATTCCCACCAAGCCCCACCCCATCCCCATCCGCAGCCCATATTAAGACGACCGCTGTGAGAGAGAAACTCCATTTCCATGTAAGAAAAACACCAATGAATGCCTGCACTATGACTACTACTTTCCGACCATTCGACGTGCCAGGCGCCCAGACCGTGCATGGAAATGCTTTTCCCTATGGACTGGAAATCCACCGCCCGGATGGAGCAGCCAGCAGTGGCGTGCCGACGGTCGATGATGCCGTGACGGCCATCGCCTCGTTAGCTGAGTCCGGACGCCTGTCCGAGCTGCTCCAGCGACATGGCGCCGTGATCATCCACGGGATCGGCCATCCCTCCGCGGAGACGTTCGCGCGACTCGTCAACGCCGCCGAGAAAGCGCGCGGCTCCCATCCGTTCGAGCAGATTGGTCTCGCCGGGAAACGCACCCTGGTGGCCGAGAATGTGTGGACGGCCAACGAGGGACCGTCCGATCGTCGATTCTACCAGCACAATGAGGTAGGCCGCTGTGCTGTACCTCATACCACATTCCCATCAAAAGGAAGCAGAATGAATGGTTGACCATGTCTTTCTGTCCAGTATTCACGGTACACGCGCTTCCCGTCCAACATCCACTTCTACTGCCAGACGAAAGCCCCGCGCGGTGGACAAACCCCGATCGCACACAGCGCCTTGGTCTACGAGAGGCTGCAGTATGCGGTGCCTGCCCTCGTGCACGAGGTCCACCAACGGGGCCTGGCCATGAAGATGGTCTTCCGGGCCCCGGGTCACGAGGGCCGGGGAAACGAGTTCAACTGGGCGGGCGAGCACAGCTTTGGACAAGAGTTTGAGGCCGGGGATGATCGCGACACGCAGAAGGCCAAGGTTAAAGCGCAGGTGCGCAGGCTCACTCCGAGTTTCCGGTGGTTGAAGGACGATACGCTGGAGTTGACGCAGCATATTCCGGGTACGTCCATTCCCTACGTAGTCTTCGAGTGCGGGTACAGTACTGATTCGTGCGGAAGGTATTCAACGCGCTCCTGCTAGCGGACGACCGGTTTGGTTTAACGGGTTGGTCGGTCGGTATGGAATGACGCGTGATCTGGGAGCGTTGGAGCCACCGTATCTGGGGCGCGATGGAATGACATGTAGGATAGAGCCCCCTCCGGACACTCCGATGGAATGCTAACAAGTGAGGGTAGATCTGCCGTGCGACTATGGCGATGGGACTGTCATCCCTGCGGAGTACCTCCAACGGCTGGAGGAGGTGGTGGATGGTCTGGAGATCGATCTTTGTCTGGCGGAAGGGAATCTGCTGCTGGTGGACAATTTCCAGGTGTCGCACGGGCGCAAGCCGTGGACGGGGGATCGCCGAATCCTGGTGAGCATGTGGGCGAACGACCAAGCTCTGATTGAAGCTTTTTGAAGAGGTGAAGCTTCTGCTAGAGAAGGAGTAGCAGCCCGTGATCGTGGAAGATGTCGGATTAAAATGGCGCGCATGCATGCATTGTGGAGAGCGATGGCGTGCTGCATCCCGGCCATCACCACATCTTAGCTCTCAACAGCGCCATAAGCACAGATAAGAATAGATAAGAACCCCGCAAATACTCCAGCCCCATCCAAACAAATCAACACGCACGCACGCCCACGTTCACCATGACTGCCGTCGAGACTCTCGTCCAGCCTGACATTCAGTACCATCCCGACTGGGACAAATGCCAGGCCCGAACAGCCCGACGCAAGGCCACGGAGACTCTCCCCCAGACCGTACCAAACGGCTTTCCCACGGAACTGGTCTCCAACCTCGTCTGGGAAGGCAAGGATGTCGCGAGTCGCGATGACTGGGTGGTGCGTTTGAGCGAGACGGAGCTGGATGAGATCCATGGCGCCTTGCAGAGCTTCAAAGGTACAGTACCGTAGGTTAGGGCATCAACGCCCGCACCCTAAGTAGCCCTACCTAATCCCCATCCCCATCCATCGTGTCCAGTTCCGTTCCTAAGCCCTCCCGATCATCACAGCGCGCAATCTCCCCTGGGGAGCGATCGATCAATCCACCTTCCCCCTACCAACGCTACACGATCGCCTCCGCCAGCAATCGCGAGAACTACACCTGGGCCGGGGATTCTTCGTCCTGCGCGGCCTACGCATCGACCACTACTCCCGGGAAGACAACATCCTCATCTACGCGGGGGTATCCGCGCACGTCGGCAACATCCGCGGACGGCAGGAGGACCAGCGCTTCAGCAGCGGCACGTCGCTCGTGCTCTCGCACATCAAGGACATCACGCGCACCACGCGCGCCGGCACCATCGGCGCGCCCTCCAACACCGCCGACAAGCAAGTCTTCCACACCGACGCGGGCGACATCGTCTCGCTGCTGTGCCTCCACCCCGCGGCCGCCGGCGGCGAAAGCAAGATCGCCAGCAGCTGGCTGGTGTACAACATCCTGGCGCGCGAGCGCCCGGATCTGATCCACACCTTGTCGCAGGACTGGGTGGTCGATGGGTATGCATGCATGCAGCCGGCGCATCTTTCAGTTGCCAAGCGAGAGAGAAAACTAACAGACAGAGAAACATAGAGCTTCAACAACCCCGCTTCGCCCTACACCAAACGCCCCCTGCTCTACTGCCAGCCCGCCACCGATGAATCCACCCCGGACCGCGTCCTCATCCAGTACGCCCGCCGCTACTTCACCGGCTTCCAGGCCCAGCCCCGCTCCGCGGACATGCCCCCGATCACCGAGGCGCAGGCCGAGGCCCTCGACGCCTTGCACTTCCTGGCCGAGCAGCACAGCGCCGCGCTGGATTTCCAAAAGGGGGATGTGCAGTACATCAACAATTTGAGTATCTTCCACGCCCGGAATAGGTTCTGGGATGAGCCGGGGAAGGAGTACGTTGCCTTTGCCCCTCCTCCTCACTCACCAAGTGCCCCATGCTGTGAGAGAAGAGGTGTCTTGTGCTGACACATTCATAGACGCCATTTGCTGCGACTGTGGCTGCGCGATCCGGAGTACGCGTGGGAGACGCCCGAGCCGCTGCGGAAACGGTGGGATATCGTCTACAAGGATGTGCGGGTCGAGGAGCAGGTGTTTCCGCTGGAGCCGCGGTTGCGGAAGACGGTTGGCGCTTGAGCGATTTGCCGCGAAATGGATTGTGGTTGGTTGGTGGACTGGAACTCTGGGGACTCGGTGATGATAGATAGTTGATTCGGGAAAGTTGTGGTAGCTTCGCGGCACAGGTTGTTCCAGTGAACTCGGAAATGGGCTGCAGGTACCAGATCGTAACGCTTTGGCCTCGACTATCTAAACCGTTTGGCCTGGTTGTACAGTTACACCAATAGTCCCCCAGTTGTCGGGCCTCGCACACTATCAATAAGACAGACAAATGATATTGGCTTCATGCTACAGCCTACTCCTACCCCCACCCCTTCCCTCCTGCCCGCCCAGTCTTCGCCCCGCCCTCGAACCGCATCAAGACCTTCGTCTCCAACCGCTTCGAGAACCGACGATACGCCTTCGGAGCATGCTCGATATCCACCACCGAAGAGAACACGAACCCGGGCCCCTCGCCTTGGCCCCCCCCCCCGGATCAGCTCCAGCAGCGGCGCCACCGCGGTCTTCGAGTCCACCGGCCCCGCGCGCAGGGTCAGACCCTTCTTCCACACCCCCGACAGCGGGCACGGCACCGTCGGCGAGATCGTATCCCCGCGTTGCACACGCCCGGGGACGTCGGCATCGCGAAGTACACCCCGACGATCGCCAGCCCGCCGCCCACGCGGGTGCACCGCCGTGAGGCGCATCACCGCGTCGGTCTGCCGGACAATCGTCAGCTTGGGGAGGGTGCGCACGTGGATGTGTACGGATGGCCGTCGAAGACCACGGCGCGCATGGTCGGTTTGTTGGTCGTGGATGGGTCTGGATCGGGCATGTTCTGAGCGTTTTGGCTTGGAGAGGGGGTTGGCAATGGAGTGGGGGTGGGGGTAATAAGGATAGCAGGTTATATGTAGCATGTAGGCGGAGTGGTCGGGTCAGCCGTCGCATGTGCTCATTTGTAATAGCTTCATCGAAACACCACAGGGATCCTCTGGGATCCCCCCCCCCCCCAAAGACGAACTGCTAAACTATCTATTCATCGATCGTCCGAACTGGAAACTGAGGAGACCGCCCAGATTCGAGAAAATCCAAGCAATCCCTCTTATCAGCATTGATGCAGCTGACAAGATCCATATGGTTTCCAAGTCCCAGGCCACAGGAGAACGGGACTAGGACTCTCACTTTTCCGGGATGGTCAGGGCCTTTAAGTGAACCTAGCCATGATCCTGATTATTTTCTCTATGATTGAATGGATGAAACAGGGGTTATGTCGAAAAGTATTGCATTCGACCACAAAAGTACTCGTGGTGGGCTGCCAGGACGTGATCGGCAAGGCCAAAAGACCGAATTTCCTCTAACGTTATATAGTATAGATAGTCACTACCACCTCTTTTCAGGTTACTCTAAGCGCGTCATCTCGACTATCCGAGTTAATAATGGCGACCAACGCTCTAGTGAGCACCAAAGCATCATCCTCCGAGCCGGATGCCGATCTCGAGGTCCGGGCGGGCGTGGTTATGGGTCGTATCCGAAGTGGCGCAGCGCATACCTCTACTGCCGAAAAAGTCCAGACGGGGATATGGAGGGGATCTACTTTGAGGATAAAGACCTCCCCCACGCCCCGAATATCCGGGAGTGGGAATGGCGCGTGGTCTTCATAGAGGAGTCCGGGCCTGACACGGAGCCGCAGGTGCTTTATGGTAGAAAGCCGCGCTTGGACTCCATTCCCGAGTTTCTGGACTGCTACGTGAGTGGGCTGGAGAGCTTGGATGCCCGTACGCTGCTTAGTCTCCGCCGGCATGCAGGTGGATGTGAAACCGATTGTGAGTCGGATTGTGATGAACATCTTCTACTCTGTTAGACTTTTCTCCTATACTGGGGGATTGAAGAAAATGATTGAGAATTTAGAGTCCTGGCCATCGGGTGGCTCCTGATAGGCGTCGGCCAAGGCATGCGAGCAAAAGCAGCAACAAAGAAGATGTCATATAATCTATCCCCAGTCAGACAATCCGTCTTTGATACAGCAGCCGATCAACCAATGAGTACACCGTAAAGTCTGCAGAATCTACTACCCAATCAGCACAGTCAACCAGGAGTCACCTGAAGGCGAGTCCTTATGGAGCTCAGCACTAGGCCTTGCCACGGGTCCGGTTTCACCTAATGTAAATCCCCTCAAATTCAAGAGTAGAACTACTAATCAGACTATACGCACCAAAGCCACGAGAGTGACACCTGGTTCATGGAAGCCTCCTCAGCGTATCCCGCTGCTGAGCCCTTCCCAACTCCGTCAATGCCGTCTGGATCAGCTCCTGCGTACTCCGCCGACGAAACTCGCGCCGTGCCGCCTGCAGTCCCTCCTCCCAGCGCCGCCATCGGGGCAGATCGAAGTAGCGAGGATCCTCCGGACTATCCCCGAATCTCCGCCGCGCCTGACAATTCTCCCACATCCGTGCTCCGGCATAGAAGAACCAGATACAGGCGGCGCGCACCGCCTCCTCGACCGGTTCATCTTCTTCCTCAAATGCGCTCCGGCACGCGTACAGCCCATACAGCGAGAAATCCATGGGATGGCCGAGCGCATCCGCCGCGGCCGTCAGCTGCGCCATGAACGCGGTCCGGTTCTCCCACTCCCGGACCTCGGCCGGGGGATACTCCTCTGCCTCGGGGTATTCCTTCTTAACATAACCTGCTTGGTCCCAGTCAGCGAAGGTGTGCGCGAACGAACCCGACAGCGGCGGAAAGGAGAAAGAAAGGGAGGGGGTCCACGCACGGAAACCAGATCTATCGGCCAAGTAAATGCGGAGGTAGGGGAGATCGGTCCAGAGTTTCAGATCCTCGGCCGCTGTCAGCGGTCGCCCCGTGACCGGGTCGATGACGGGGGTCTTTTGGAGCTGGGCGACGAACTCGATGAGCTTCGCCTGCTGCGCAGCTGGGGTGAGACTCGCGAGTTCGACGAGCGGGAACATCGTGAACCACGCATGGTTGCCTGCGTTGCTTGTGTTGTTGCCGCTGCTGTCCAAGGGCTCGTTCTCCTGCGGTGGGGTCTCGCGGGTCTGAAGCAGTCGTTGGACGGCCGCGGTAGGAGAGGCATCGGGTTTCTGGAGGAGCTCCGCAAGGACTTGGACTTCCGGTCGCTCCAGAAGCTCGGAGCCGAACTCTTCCAGAAAGGCCTCCATTGCTGATGGGGTGGAGTTTGGGGTGTTGATGAGTGTGGTGTTGTTTTGGGTGATGAAACAAGGTAGATGAAGCACACGGTGGGTGTTCGTTTTAAAAGGAGTTAATGATTAGTCGATGGCGGTAAGCACTACCTGAACTAACCGAGACAGTCAGTCAGCAATCTCTTGGTTGTTCTGTTGGATGTCCTAGTCACAGATTAGTTGACAGCCCTTAGTATTAGTATAGGATGATTCTGAAGCCCAGTGGCCGAATCGTAAGCTGTCAGCCCTGCACCTCCAACCGGCCCCCAGTTGGCCCCAATTAACACTGCCCTGCCCTGACCACCCACGCTGTTTGGGGCTGAGAATCCATTTTGGCCCTCGTGGAGTTTGACCCCCAATTGTCAACAAGATAATAGGGTCAAAAGTGCAGGCTATATAAAGCCACCGTCGCTGCACCCACCGTTTACCAAGCTCATCTCGCATCAACCTAGTCACTCATTCACTCATTCATTCACTCGCTCACTCCATCTTACTATTTTCTCTTTTCCCGAACCCACAGACAGATATAGAAACTACCTATTCTTCTTCTCTCGTTTAAAAATGCTCTTCAACCTCAAGCCCACCCTCCTCTTCGGTCTAGCCCTAACCGCAGTCGCCAGCCCGATCGCCAGCGACACCGACCCTCTGGAGGCGCGCGACCTGCTCAGCCTCCTCCCCCGCGCCCAGGTCAAGGACGTGAACTGCGGCGGGGCCAAGTTCACCGCGGCCAACATCAACGCGGCGATCAAGCAATCCAAGGTCGTCGAGACGGCGCGAGCGGCGGGCCAGAAGGGCTATGGCAAGTACCCGGAAACGTACGGCAACGGCGAGAAGTTCTTCAAATCCACCAGCCAGCTGTATGCGTACCCGTTGATTTCGGGGGTTTATTCTGGAAGTGGGTCGTCCTTTTCCGTTAAAAAGAAAAAAAAATTGGTTTGTGAGAGATGCATGTCGGAGCTAATCATGGGGACTTTTCTTGGTGGCAGAGTCCAGTGCCGGTGAACCTGGCAAGTATCGGGTTATCATGAATGAGAAATACACGTACATGGGGTCTGTGTATCATCCCCCCGGGACGGGCAATAGCTATAACCTGTGTGTCAATGATGAGGCGGCGGCGACAACGACCACCACCACTACCACCACTACCACCACTACGACAACGAAGGCGGCGAAGACAAAGAATTGACGAGGTGGGGAATCGTACTACTAGTATGGGGGAGAGGCTATCAGGGGACGACGGTTGGCGAGAGATTTTGTTAAGGGTAGAACTAGTTGGGGTCAGGATATGGCGATGCTCTTCCAGCTATGTACACTACAATACAACACCTGGCTTGCTGAGATACTCAACTTTTGTAGCACTTAGCTTGAGCTTAGACCAAGGAAATGTCGGTGGTGGTGTGCTCTATGCGCCAACGCTTACATCGCTACCAAAGTTGTTTCTAATGTCAATAATAGCGGTATCGTCTCTTAATGCCAGCTGTAGTCAGTCTCCCCAGTATGCTTTTCCCGGAATGTGAAGGTGCAAAGACCTGCAAAGAACCCCCCTCATCGCAGCGCAAAGGTCTCACGTAATCTCATAATCAACAGCTCCTACATCACCTCTGTGCATTGATGCTGAACTCCTCAGGTACGCCCTTCGTATCTCGAGCAGAGGGAAGTTCGGTCGAAAAGTACTTGGAGATGCATGAAGCACATCAAATCAAGAGCCCAAACCGGAATCTTTACTTTCCTGGCAGACCGCCTATCCCCTCCTCTCTTTACCATGCAGTTGACCTACAACCAATCGATCATCCGACCACATCAGCCCTGGACAAGCCTACCCCTTCACCACCCGCCCATCCTTCATCTCGACCATCCGATCAACACCCCGGATCTCATCAGGCCGGTGCGAAATCTGCAGGACGGTGTACCCCCTAAACTCTTCGTCTACCACCTGCTGCATCAAAGCATGAGTCGCAGTATCGGTCCCACTGGTCGCCTCATCCAGGATCAAGATGCCGCCGCCACATTCTCCTCCAGCAGAGTGGCGCTCTCGATTCCACTTGCGCACCAGAGTAACAGCCAGCGCGAACAGCCTCTGCTCGCCTTGCGACATGGAGGCAGACGTCAATTCCTCGTCCAGGCCTCCGCGCGATGTAACCACAGCCAGAAGGTTGCATCTTTCCAAGGCTAAAAGCAGAGTCGAGTTCGTTGCACGGCCGGTGGGATCCAGGTTGAAGCGGATCGAGCCGGGAAGGAGAAAAAGGTCCTGCGGGATAGCGATGACGAGGGAGCGAAGCTCGTTGCGGGGAATGGTGGAGATGTCCATCCCGCCGATGGAGATCGTGCCGTTTAGAGGGTCGAGAAGACGCAAGAGGGCCGAGATGAGCGTGCTCTTGCCGCTGTTACCAAGAGTGAGTGAGATATGTACTATGTGCAATAGCAAACTCCGACTCACCTGCCAGTTCGTCCGCAGATCATCACTTTCTCTCCGGCTTCGATGCTCAGAGACACATTGTCTAATGCGCGCGTGCTCCCGCTGTAGAATTGTAATGATCATTGGTCAGAGGTTCATATCATGAGAGACGAGAGATGAAGCACGCACTCATATGAGGCAGAAAGAGCATTGATCTCAATCCGTCCATCAGCAGGCCAGCTCGGTGGCGGAACCACCCTTTCCCGAGCATCATGCTCAGAAGGCGTTTTCATCTCGAAAGACCTTGTCCTTGCAATCGCACCAAGAGAGGTCTCCAGAGAGGTCCAACTGGACACCACCTCTTGCAGAGTCTGACTGAAAGCCATAATTGCGGTCAAGGAGACTCCGAGCTTTCCTGGATCAGTGGAGTTCCGCAACGAGGTGGCTAGTGCGATGAGTATCACAGCCAGCACGGCAACGAGGAGATCGAGGACGACGTTGAGCCACCGCTGAATACAATAGAGAAGATAGTATGGCTTTTGCGAATCATCGAGTCGGCGTAAGCACTCTGCCACAAATGACCGTTGCCATCCAAGGCCTCGGATAGTAGACAGACCCTCGAGAGTCTCCACAAACAGTGTGTAAAGTGGGCTTCTAGCTTCAAGATCGAGAAATCGGAGCTGTCTGGAAGTTCGCAGGTACACTTTCTGCGCGCAGTATAATACCAGCAAACACGGGATTATCGTCACAGCCATGTAGCTCGAGCCCAGCGATATCAGTGCAACCTGGGCAAAGCATTGCGCAACACCTGAAACTGGGATTAGCTCTGGAATTGAGTGAAAATGATCCAACATACTCAGTGCCGTTCCAAAAGCCATGGTGGGTAGGACAGCATCTACAAGGGTCATGTCCTGGCTGAACCTATTCAAGATGACGCCGGAATCAACCCCAGCAAAGAAATACATCGGCGCATCGACTACAGTTCGGACAAGCACCCGGTGCAGCTCCAATCCCGATTTGATGACGATCTTGATCATGATTTGCCTGGATCAATAATTAGCAAGACATACACGGAGGGTAGACCATATTAGAGGCTTACCATATCATAAGCCCCTGGGACCCTGAGGCAGCTACGGCAAGCAGAACGTAGATACCAATAAACTGGGCGGCTTGTTGCCCATCGTCGTTTGTGAACAGTTCCAGCCACACCTCTTGAACCCCAATTAGCAGAGTATAATGCATAATGGGGATATACTTACGGGGGAAGGTAGAGGAGAATGTATGCACGACAATAATCAGACAAGCTGCCAAGATGCTCGGCCATCCGATGGCCCTCATATAGTACGTATAGACTGCAACATCGCCTGTGCGGCGAGCTATATCTGCTATGTCATCAACAGTGAGGGTTTCCACCTTTTTTGTAGAGGCAGACTTGTCCTCACTCTCATCTCCGGCTGTCGGGGTTTCCGAGCTGGCCTCCGTCGCATGTGTAATTGGTTGCGAGATCAAACCCAAACTCCGCACGGAGCCTTGCTTCTCGATACGTCCGTTCGAGCTCAGCATGACGATCTGATCCGCGACATGCGAATGTTGATCTGGACTAAGACTTAGATACGGCTCTCGCAAATATCCTGGTCTGTACTGACCTGTATGAGTTGCCATCATTACAGTCGTACCGATTTGCCGGCAGACCCCATTGCGACCAAAACAGGCCTCAAGCACATACTGTGCCGTCTTCATATCAACAGCACTCAGAGCATCGTCGAGTACCAAAAGCCCTTTCCGTGAATAAATGGCTCGAGCGATTGCCTGTGAAATTGTCAGTACGAAGCGACAGTGATAGAAATTGGTGATGTACAAGACGTTGCTTCTGTCCTCCGCTCAGCTTCAGCGCCCCACTGCCGACCACAGACTGATCACCCTGCGGCATTCGGGAGATATCCTGCTCCAACGCACATACCCTCAGTACCTCTTTGTACCATTTGACGTCCATCTCTGAGTAACCACAGATATTATTGCAAATGGTGGTGTTCTGAAGCCAGGGGTTTTGGCTGCAGTAGCCAGCATCTCGCCATGCCCTTGTAATCGTTCCTCGCTCACAGGGTAGTTCACCCAGCGCTGCTTTCAAGAGGGTAGACTTTCCACTCCCAACAGGACCAATAATTATCATTACAGTGCCTCCCTTGATTGTGAAGTTGATCTCTGCTAGAGAGAAGTCAGATCCAGGCATCGGATGAATATACGCGTCGGTCATTTGCAGAACAATCTGGTCGGAATTGGGCTGTGTCTTGGGTACCAATGCTTTCAATTCCACCATTGATCCGTTACCACTAGAGCTATCTGTTTCATGGTCGAGATCATCCTCTGACAGTGAGAGTTCCACAGAAGGAGAAGCAAGGAATTTGCGAATGCGGTCAAAAGCACCCAAAGCGGCTGTCACGGCCGGGATCGACGCCAGGAGCTGTAGCGCTGGGCTCGTGATGAGACTGATGATCGCAAGGGATGTGAAAGCCTGCACGGTTGACAGTGTATCTGAATGATCGATTTTTGCACGGATAACGAAAGCCGCGAATGTGACCAGAGAGGCACACATTTGAGGCAGACTCGCTTCCTACAGTCAGTAGACTCAGACGATAGCAAAGAGGAGGCGGGATACTTACCAACCACGTTCAGCCACACGATCAACCATCGGAAGTCTTTAGACAAATCCAGTTCTCGCTCTCTTTGTGCCTGAAGAGTTGTAGCGAGCGTCTCAGATAGTCCAAGCATCTTGACGCTTTTCATCGACCGCAGCGCCGTGGAAATTATGCTCACACGGCGCTGGATAGCGCCGACCCAGACCTTCTGCCTTGCAGGCATGAAAGTTGCCATATACGTCTGGGCGGATGTACACACTATGGCAGAGCAATGTCTCAGATACAAGGAATCAGAAAGAGAAAGGGAACCTACAAATAATCACAAGAATTGGGGCGACGCAAACGGCACCAAGCTGTCGCTCTAAGAGCCAGATACCAATGGCAATTTCCACCAATCGAGCCCATGTCTCGCTGATTTGCTCGAGCGACCGTGCGATCATGTCAACGTCAGTGCTCATAAGGGTTACAGCAGCCGAATCATTGGGGGGGCCATCCGTAAGGACCATAGTGTGGTCGTAGACTAATGCAACGGCTGCGCCTCGGAACATAGTGATCATCCGAAATAGTTGGTGTTTGTAATGCACCGTCGATATCTGAATTGGGTTAGGGCTTTTTTGATCGACTGACTAGAATTAACATACTGCAATCCCTCCATAGATAAGCGCTGCGGCCCCGATCAAGCCATAGTTCTCGTTTTTTGTCAGCTGGGTGTCGGGTCTGTGTAGATGCTCGATTGCACGCTGGATAAAAAACGTCTGCGCGTAGCTGAATCCGATCAGACATAGTCTCGGGAATATCGTTCGAAGGATCGCCCAACGTAGACTGATCACGGTGGCGAATATCAGGCTGCGTGTATGGCAAGATTTGTCTGCAGGGGTCGACACTTAGTGAGATTGCCACGATATGAAACAACAAAAGAAGATTATACATTTGCCCCATGCTCTTCGAATTCTCCGTCCCAGACGGCTTGAGTTCAAGGCTTCGTCCGTTGGAAATAGATTCTCGACTGTCAGAAGCTTTCGGAACCCTCTAAGAAATAGGCCGTTGAGCCACCAGAAGACAGTGCGAGCGAAGATTCCACTGGTCGACTCGGGCGAGACGACATGATATGGTGACTTCAGATACTTGCGTTTACTTTGGGCTTCCAACATCAGTAGAACAAGCTTCAATGCAACGGATGCGGCAGCTAGTGCTGCCAAAGGAGATGGATAGTGGCGGATGAATAAGGTGCGCACTTGCACGGCATCGAAGAGCGTTGATAGCAGAAGGTAGATGCTCAGAAGCGATGACGGGCGCAGTGAGCGATCATGTTCGAGGGCGGTTAGGACGGTGATGCTTATGGAGTCGACCAGCGATAAGACGATGGCAGGGATGGCCGTCCTGGTGAGGTTATGGCGCGCCCATTCGACCACCGAGGTGATTTGTAGACCGACAAGACATAACGCAACAGCCTTGATTTGGCCAGTTCAACTGTTAGCATATGTGCCAATGCGGATCAGATGAAGGTACGACGGACAAGCTTGCCCCAATGGGCCTTGTTGGCGACCGTTTTGATGTTTTCTGTGTAGAGCGACCAGATCCGCCAAGGAACCACGAGGAGGAAAATGGCCGATGGGCCGATGGCTAGAATACTTTGTTCGAAAAGCAGAGTGAAGTCAAAGATCGCTGGACAGGCGATGACCGGTCCAAACGAGCTGTCCGCTTCGGGCGAGCAGCTGCCTGCCATGGTACGGTTCGAGGTTTAGCATCCAGACACAAAAGAAGATGGTGGATGGAAATTCGAAAGAGAGGAAAGAGCAGATAGTGATATTTGAAGGTTGAAGATTGAATACTGGATGTTAAAGACAAGAAGGAGAAGGGGAGATAAGGCAGACATGTGACTGGCCAGGGACCCTGGTCGATGGACGTAAGCGCGTGGCTGCCTGGACGCCTGGACGCGGCCTGAAAGACTACTAGTAGCCTCTCACCCTCTACTAGCTGTATAGCAAAGTTTTTATCTCATACGGATGTCCCGACATGTCTCAAAATCAATTATCTAGCAGAATCTCACTGTGGCTAAGTGTTCCCTTCACTCCAGCAAGATCAACAGGATGAACTTCACTATCTTGGACAGCCCTCCATAACAACTCCGAGTCTCTGCACTGATGCGGATGTCCCAACCCATCAATGATCAAGACGCGTTTTCCATCTCTCTCGACAGCCGAGCGTGGTGGTTCGATAGTGTCATCTGCCGCACAGATTATAGCCTTCCAACTGTCAGGGCGATGGGAGCGTCACTAAGTTCACCACAAGGCACTCACCTGTGCAATGTAATCAAAGCAATGCTCCCAGTGCACAGCATCTTCATGAGCATCGCCCGAGTGAGAAGGTGATGTTGTGGGCGCCCCGTGATGCTGGGTCGTGTCAGGGAATATCAGCCCACGAAGAACCGTCAGACAGTGGAGCTGGTGGAACATGGAGATCCCGTAGTCGGTTACGGTGCTGTTGCTTGTTCGGACCTTTAGTATGCCGCCATTTTGGGGGAGAAGAAGTGATTCCCATGAGGTTTTCGGGGTCAAAGGCTGGAATTCGCGAATGACTGGAGGCCGGGAAAGGGGCTCGCTGGAACAAACATGGAATTGGAAGGGTTGTGAGAGGCTACTCCAGTTGCCCACTGAATTGAATATGACACCGATATTTACGAAAAGAAGGAAGATCAGTGCTGCTGAGATGCTATAGAGGAAGCGTGTTGAATAGGGCATGTTTCGAGTCTGCGTCCCACGCTCAGCCGGCTGGGGCAGGAGCAACGGAGAAGTCCGCTTTACAATTATGAATCCGTATACAGTGGAAGCCGGGCCCAAAGCTGCCTTGTCTGGCTCTAGGCTTCCATATAGGGTGGCGTGAGCCATTCATTTTCTAGGTTACATCGCGTGGTTCCTGTTTCGAAAGCATACATCGTACCTTTGTTCTCTAATCAGCCCGTTGATAGCGCTAAGCAGGGATCGGTGAACGAGCGCAATCAAGGGTTATTAATAAAGCACACCATGCAGTAGCCTAAATGCTTGATTAGAACACAAACAAATCCTGGACCCCTAGTCTCGACTCAACCCCGCTCTCAGACTTGCCCCAAGTACTGGTGCCAGGCCGATCATCGACCCTGATATTAGCGCCCCTCCACAACCTCTTACATGGTGGTCGTCTTATCCAATTATCCCACTATCAGAGCCATCATCGGGGTTGGAATTGTACCAACCAAACAGCTCCTTGAATCGATGCGACATCACCCTGGCCGCTGCATCAGGTGGCTTCCGAATGGCAGCAAACTCGTCTACGTCGACCGAGTTCTCCTCCTGCCAACGCAAGATGGCGTCGAAATCCCGGCATTTGTGGTTGACGCTGAAGTCGGGGAAGGCGTTCAGCTGCGCATCTGCCCAGTAATGGGTGTAGATGTCGACATTCGCGGTGCACATGAGGTTCTGGAGCAGCAGGTAGATGCAGTGGGAGATATGGGTCCGGTGCATGTCGGACGGCGGAGTCCCCGGCGGCCATTTCTTCCCATAGTAGTGGTCAAAGTACGCTTCCCGGCGCAGCCAATCCAGGCAATGAATTTGATGGAAGACGTCGATCCGTCCAATGTATGCCTCAAATCCGAAGCCAAAGCTTTCAGGCCATTTTGCCGCTTGCTCGGGGTCCCTACCCAGCTTGACCACGTCACCACGACTGATGGCGATGGGTCTGATGTTTGCTAGTCGGTTCCAGGCTTCGTCCACCTCGGGGCTGGGTGGCTGACGGTAGATGGGTAGGGGATCTGGCTCCACCAACGTCGCATTCATCCTTTTGTGGATGAGAGGAATTTCCAGTCGATCGAATATGGGGGCTGCAAGCCGTTAGCGAACTGAATGTTGCGACCAAGCTTGAGTCACCCTCACAATATTCAGAGGTTTTCCGCAATAGCTGGCTGGGAACGCTGCTGCTCCGGACAATGCTCGCGGTCATGGCAAAGAGAAACAATGACATTGCAAAGATGGTAGCATTGAGCCAAACAAACCAACGGTGTCGTGGATGGGGATACTCGCGCTGGGACGTCCTTTCCTCTAGAAGTGCTCCATTCTCGCTTTCCGTACCTTGTCGGCCGTCATCGAGGGCATCAGAGTCTCGACGGCCCAGTCTTTCATAGGTTGGAGACATTCCGAACTTCATCTTCATCAGTCGAGGCGTCCTTCGATTCTGGTGGGTAAGAAACTTCCAGACGGTAGGCGATGGAGCGCAGAGCAAGGAATGATCAAATACCTCGACCCCAAAGTGGTATTTTCTCTTGATCTGGGATATGCAACACCCCTGGTAAGTCGATAATACAACGACAGTTCCCTAGTGAAGATAATTGCTAATCAATTAGCCTGTGCCGCCTATGCCGCCCATATCGTCCTGTTGGTAGCTTTCCACCTTCCTCCCAGTCTGGTGGAAGTGCAGATATCTGCTGCAGTCACATTCACAGTAGTGTGCAGTAGTTCGCATTGGGATAGCTTTTGGACTTGGAACAGCTTTCTATCTCAGCACACTTAGTCTTCTCTGCACTTCGACCAAGCACATACGACCACAGGGTGTGGAAAATAGGGCTTCCCGTCCGCTCAGCCGTACTCAAGCCACACGCCGGGAGGTTAGTAGTTGGGTGGGTGACCACCAGCGAATCCCTTCTGTTGTATGTTTTCGTGTTCTTTTTGCTGCAGTCCATCATCTTGTCAGAAACCCTTGCTGCTTTATTTTCCTCTCTTTGGGTCTATCTCTTTGCCCTTGATAGGCTGTGCGATATGTGTATGGCACATATGCCATGCGCGTATATGCAGGACTCTGTTGTTGGACTGTCATGTCTTCCCAAATTGGATTAGAGGTGCAGACATCTACTGGACTCACATTCACAGTAGTGTACAACGACGCCGTTGAGATGGATTGACATCCCCGCATGACACATACTCTGGCTGTGCAATTATGGCACCTACACGTATGGGCCAGACTCCGCTGATGGGTCGTCACCTCTTTCCATATTGAAAGAGGTGCAGCCGTCAGCTGCGATCGCAATCACGGTGGTGTACAACAATCACATAGACCTGGCATCTAGCCTTGGTTGTGTAGACAGGCCATACCGAACGATCCGGCCCGAAGTTTCTCAGATGCAAGAGTGGGAAGGCCAGTGCTCGAGACCTCGATATAATTAGCCCTCCCATCCCCTCCTTCCTGCTCAACAGACCATCTCTTCTCGATCGCAAGCCTCGCCAGAACTCCCCAAGCATACCCCGCCCACCATGAAGTACCCCGTGCTTCTTTCTGCCATCTACGGCCTCCTTCTAAGCCCTATGGCAGCTTCTGCACCGACAGCCAAGCGTATGCACATCCTTCCCACCCCAGATTGTAGGCATTGGTGTGATTCAACCAATATGGAGCTAAGATACATCAGCAGCATTCACACTTCGCGTCCGGGCGGATGACCTCCGCGCTCTCCGCGCCAGAGCCAGTACCGAAGCCACGGCGCTGTATGGGTACATTGTCGCCGACACTGAGCTAGACAAGCGCGACGAGGAGGCGACGGCATTGTATGCGTATATTGCAGCCGACACTGAGCTAGACAAGCGCGACCAGGGGGCGACGGCGTTGTATGCGTATATTGCGGCTGATAGTGAGTTGGAAGACGAGTGAAGGCTCTCAGACCTGTCGGGAAAGCGCTGTAGCAGCAAGACACCATGCTTAAGACTGGTCCATCTGGAAAAGAGCCATCGCTACAATCTTCACGTCTCGCCTAAGAGATAATGTGGCATGCAGTTATTGTTCCACTTCAGATCCACTATTACTATAAGACCTCCCTCGTAACGATTGAACCGGGCAAGGCCTATTAATACTTATAAACGAGATACTGCGATATCGCTTCAGTATATTTTTAAGCAGACACGTGACTCTGGGTAGATCTATAGACCTGGCTCCAAGGATCTGCCTAGAAATGGACCTATTTAGGTAATTCCAACATTGTTCGGAAGAATTCTGGTCTGCAGAGCTAGTCGAATTATCCCTAGAATTATATTGAGGTAACCCGGCGATACTTGTACAGTGGATCGATTTTGGTTTTGGCAAAATTGCCGTAGACAGAAAATCGCCTTACGGAGGATTGTCTGACAGTAGGTGACTTGAGAGGTAGGAGCCACGTTTCCGACCTGACCGCACACGACCTGGAACTGAATACTAGCCCTTTTGGGGAATATAGTCGGGGGTAGGGCAGGTGGCAGCAACTACAGAATCCAGGCGGCTCGAAGCGCGAGACTATGCTCGGGCTGGAAGGAGTCTTACTAGGATATATAACTACTAATAGCTTGGTGGGTTAAGCACCATTAGCCTGTTGCGGAAGATTGAGGAGAAGCCATATATTTGCATGGTTCCTATTCGAAAAGAAAAAAAGAAAGAAAGAAACTGGCGGAAGTGATAATGAACTCAGTGAACTGACATCGAGAAATAACATAGACATACGGAGTAACTTGACTTGGATGACTTTGTATGCCTCGGGCACAAATGGCTTAGTCAGAGAGCTCGGCCAGGGCTTACCCTAACTAGCATCGGGACTTATGCTGTGCTAAGCAATGCTAATATAAGATAATGCTTAAAGTTATCCTTTGGATTCTTAACCCTGATCTAGTGCTCCAGGGCGGGTAGAAATTTCACCGAAGCACGGAAGAAGCGTTCTGGATTGTTCGGAGTTTCGGAGCTCTGACGCAAGGAGCTTCATTATTGATTGCAAAGCACAGACTCCAACAATCAAAGAAACCCTCGATAACAGCTCGATAACCGCCTCCACAAAAACGACTCCACCGCCACCTCTGCTATTTGCCTGTGCTTTTTCCCCACTAGATGGCCATTGCATGATGTAATGCTGTCCAACTCAGTTAGAAAAAGCGGCGGTGAAGCTGCGTGAGTCTGTCTCTCCTTTCCACCTGCCACCTGACCAACAAACTTTATCACTCCCCTTTTTCTGATTCTGATTCTGGTTTTCTGTCCAAAACCTTTTCTCTCTCTTCCTTTGTCATTTCCTGCTCAATCTCCTCTCAATTGCCTCCCCACAACCACTACCTCCATACACATACACGCACACACACTCACTCACTCACACACACACACAATGGCCCCCCTTAAGCTCAGCAACAAGAACCTCTCACAGATTGCCTCCACTGCCGGCGAGCACCAGGTGCAAGTACCAACCTACCAGCGCGGGGATGCCGTGAAGGAGGGCATCGTCCACGTCGGGGTGGGCGGCTTCCACCGCGCCCACCTGGCCGTGTACGTCGACCAGCTGATGCAGAAGCACGGGGAGAAGAACTACGCCATCTGCGGCGTGGGACTGCAGCCGTTTGACGCGGCGATGCGCGACGCCCTGGGGTCGCAGGACCACCTGTACACGGTGATCGAGCGGTCGGCCAAGGGGAGCTTCGCGCACGTCGTGGGCGCCATCAACTCGTACCTGTTCGCGCCGGACGACCGCGAGGCGGTCATCGCCAAGATGGCGCACCCGGACACGCACATCGTCTCGCTGACCATCACCGAGAGCGGCTACTACTACAACGAGAACACGCACGAGCTGCAGAGTGAGCACCCGGACATCCAGTACGACCTCGACCCGGCCCACGAGACCGCCCCGCGCACCACCTTCGGCTTCCTGTATGCGGCGCTGGCCCGCCGCCACCAGCAGGGCCTGAAGCCGTTCACCGTCATGTCGTGCGACAACATGCAGAAGAACGGCTCCATCACGCGCCACATGCTGGAGTCGTTCGCGCGGCTGAAGAACCCGACGCTCGCCGAGTGGATCGCCACGCAGGGCGGCTTCCCCAACGCCATGGTCGACCGCATCACCCCGCAGACCTCGGCCGCCGACAAGACGGCGCTCGCCGACAAGTTCGGCATCGAGGACAGCTGGCCCGTCGTCACCGAGCCGTTCATGCAGTGGGTCATCGAGGACCAGTTCGCCGACGGCCGCCCGCCCTTCGAGAAGGTCGGCGTGCAGGTCGTCAAGAACGTCCACGACGTCGAACAGTTCGAGAAGCACAAGCTGCGCCTGCTGAACGGCAGCCACTCCGCCCTGGGCTACCCGGGCCAGCTGGCAGGCTTCCAGTACGTGCACGAGGTGATGGAGAACCCGACCTTCAACAAGTTCGTCTGGCAGATGATGCAGGACGAGGTGAAACCCCTGCTGCCCGACATCCCCGGCGTCGACATCGATGAGTACTGCCGCACCCTCATGGGCCGCTTCGAGAATCCCACCATCATGGACCAGCTGCCGCGCATCTGCCTCAACGCCTCCGGCAAGATCCCCCAGTTCATCATGCCCTCCATCGCCGAGGCCATCTGGGTCAAGGCCCCCTTCCGCCGCCTGTGCTTCGTCGCCGCCGCCTGGTTCCGCTACGTCAACGGCGTCGACGACGCCGGCAACCGCTTCCCCGTCGACGACCCCATGCGCGACGAGCTGCAGGCCAAGGCCCGCGCCGGCGGCACCAAGCCCCACGAGCTGCTGAGCATCAAGACCCTCTTCGGCGACGATCTGCGCAGCGACGAGCGCTTTCTGAAGCAAATCACCCAGGCCATGGAGGAGATCGACCGCGACGGCATCCTCAAGACCTTGCCGAAGTATGTGGACTGAACGAGAAGTTCTTGCATACCCTTATATATACCTTGGTACTTTAGAAGACGGTGAAAATGATAAGAGGGCATTTAATTCGGTTATTTGCGAGCGTTGGCTTTTTATATACATTTTTGGACTCGTGTTGATACGATTTCTGCCATCTGGCTTTCGGATATGTGATGCGTCATGCGGGATTGAGTTACGAAAGACGAGCATAGAAAAATCTCACCCTTTTGTTTTTTTGTCTCGGTGCATAGAAGATAGAGATAATGATAGATTAGGTTTCATTTATTTGTGTCTTCAATTCTGATTCTCGGGTACGGCATACGTATACTGTTCTTGAGATTCATTGCCTCACTCTACGCTACTATGAGTATATAATATATCACAGCCACCGCAAAATAGCCGGAGCCCCGGGAACGTCAACGTCAACGTCAACCCAAACCACGAACCCAGCTCCCGAGCTGAGCTGAAGGACAGAATCTACACATGAAAGAGAAGCTTCCAATGACGCAAGATACTCTGTAGGATCCAGCGAGTGGCAAAAGGATTAGCAGCGAAGAAAGAATCGCGATGGTGGCGAGGTTCCACCCGTTTCGATTGAACTTAGCTTACCGGGCCCCACACAGCCCACTTAAAAACAAAAAAAAAAAACAGAATGGGACGAGCCGGGCTTGAACCGGCCACCTTCAGATTACAGATGTACTGGCCGAAGTTGATGCTTCAGTCTGACGCGCTCCCAGATGCGCCATCGTCCCGATTGTTGAATATTCGGATTCATCTGATGGATTATGTATCAAGTCAACAAGGCGGGAAGGACGGAAATTTGCTGCTTCTTTCTACCGTAGCTATTGCAACCTTAACATCTACGGAGGCTAGGATATGGTGATGAAAGTGCAACGCTGCAAATCCATTCATGATTAATGCTATGTACGTACATCTACTTCCCACACCTACGCACCCCCGGCCTGTTGCTGCTTCCATTGGTGTGCTTTCTGCAGCAGCTTGGACAGGTTGGCGGCCGACTGGTCGTCCGCGGGGAAGACGTAGTCCATGTATTCCTCGTAGCGGTCGTCGTCGAGCTTGCGCCGCTTCTTGACGCGGCGCGGCATCTGTTTCTCGATCTTGTCGATGTCCTCGGGGGAGCCGTGCGTGTGCTCGAACGAGCGCCAGGCGTTGAGGAGTTCCACACGCTTGGGGATGGGGGTGGTTAGTTTGATTGTCAACGTTACCGGGTGAGAACAACTAACCTCTTCTTTGAGTTCCTTGTCCTTGAACACCTTGTGTGCGCGGGTGAAGATCGCCCGGGCACGTCGCTTGGCCTCGTCGCTGACCGGCCGCTCCTCCTCCTCGTCTTCTTCTTCCTCCTCCTCGTCCGGCACGTTGATCTCGAACCGGGCGTAGTTGATCCACACTTTGACGTGGTCGGTCTTCTCCAGCAGACGCTCGTACAGGGAGCGCACGCGGTCGTACTCGCCCTCGTACTCCTCGAAGTCGATGTAGGACTTCCACACCAGCTCCGGCATGTCGAGGGTCGGCTGCTCGATGCCCAGCTCGTAGATGGCGCGCGCGCGCTCCGTGTCGTCCAGCCCGCGCTCCAGCTCGGCGTACTTGATCCACGACTGGCTGTTGGACGGGTTCCACTCGATCTGTTTCTCGAACAGCGTCCGGCACCGCACGAACTCGAACAGCTGCCGCTCCAGGTCGATGTAGCCCCGGAAGAGCTTGTCCTTGGGGCACATGCCCAGCGCCTGGCCCAGTGCCTTGCGGGCGGCCGGTAGGTCCATCTGGCGGATCTCGAACTGCGCCTTCAGGAGCCAGATCTTGGCGAAGGTGAACCGCTTGTGGGGGATGAGCTTCAGACACTCGTTGTAGATCTGCCGCGCCCGCCCGGCGTCCTTGGCCTCCATCTCCTCCCAGATCGCGTAGAAAATCCACAGGTAGATATACCGCCGCCAGTGCCGCTTCTCCTGCGAGGGGGGGATCTGCGCGATGGCGCGCTCGTAGATGTCGCGCACCCGGTCCGGGTCGCCCGACGTCTCCTCCAGCCGCGCAAAGTCGAACCATACGTCGTAGTTGCGCGCGTTCTCCTTCAGCTGCTCCTCATACTGCACCCTGCGTTTCGACAGAATGACATCCTCCACGCCCTCGCGGTCCCCGAACTGCTTCTCGAACGTCGTGTACGCCTTGTGCAGCGCCATCGACTTGGACCGCGGCAACCGGTCCAGCGCGTACTTGTAGATCGCCCGGGCGCGCTCATACTCCTTCAGCTTGGCCTCGAACTTGGCGTAGGCAATGAACAGCTTCTCATCCATGAAATCCTCCCCGAGCGTCTCGATGGCGATCCCATACACCTCGCGGACCAGGTCACTCGTCCCGTACTCCTCCTCGAACCGCGCCCACTTGATCCAGTTGCGGGGCTCCGGGTGCACGATTGTGAAGCGCTGGAAGATGGCCCGCGCGCGCTCGAACTCGTTGTACCGCTTCTCCAGCTTGATGTAGGCACTCCAGGCGCCCTCCTCGGGCTCCCACGACATCCAGCGCTCGAACACCTGCCGGGTGCCGGGGATGTTGCCCAGGGTCTCCTCCATGTAGACATACTTGTACCACAGCTTGTCGACGCGGGGCAGGATGGTAACGGCGCGGTCCAGCAGGTTGCGCGCATGGTTGATGTTGCGGTTGCGCATTTCGGATTCGATGTACCGGATCCATAGCACCACCGAGGTCGGCTGCACGTCCAGCGCCCGCTCGAAGATCGACCGCGCCCGCCGGAACTCCTTCTGCTCCAGCTCCCACGCCGCGTACCGCATCCAGTTGTTCATGTTGATCCGGTTGCGCCGCACATAGTCCTCGAACTCCTTGCGCTTGCGCCCCTGGTACTCGTGCAGCTCCTCCAGGTCCGCGAACCGCTGCGTCGGCGCCTGCAGCGCCGGCTCCTGCCGGTCGACCGCCTCGCGGAGCAGCTGCTCCGCGGAGATCTGCACCGGCGCCGCGGCCTTGTTCTTGACCCGCGGTGGGCCGCGTGAGGCTTCCATTGTGTCTTAGGGAGGGTGGTGAGGTGGAAAAGAGGGTATAAGGTTGTTGTGTTGTCGGGGGTTGGTGGTTATCGGGCGTTGGACCCCGGCCGGTGTGCGCGAGCCGCTGCTCAGCTGTCAAGTGGGATCACTGGAATTGGGTGAAAGACGGGTTCTGAGAAAGATATGCGTGGACTCTTGTAGGACTGATCTCGACAACGAAGCAGCTCTCCCAGAATCTTCACAGTGTGCCCAAGCAAGCAACACCTGCGCGGTTTGATGATGTCGGGGAGATTGAGACTTGTCCGCCCGACCCAAATTCGGAAGCCCTGCGCTTTTGGTCCGTGGCGCTACACGAAGCCCAGCAGCTATGCTGCTTAGTCACTAGGCGGTCAGCGGCGTCTCTGGGCAAAATGTCGGCCATCTCCAAGTTCGGCTCAGTCTATTCATTAATCACAACTCACAGCAGGTTTCATCATGTCGAACGTCGAGGACCTTCTTCGAGACTTTGAGGACGACGACGAGGATCTCCAGGTCGGAGATGGCCTGGATGACGGAAATGGCGATGACGATGACAACATGGTGGTGGACGAGGAGCAGCTCGCTCAGCCAGCGGCGCCCGAGATCACCAACGAGTTCGACGTCGCGCTGTCGACCCAAGACGAACTGACCCGCCTACACAAGGTCCTGCGCGATCACTACTCGATCCGATTCCCCGAGCTCGAGACGCTCGTCACGACGCCGCTTGACTACGCCAAGACGGTGGCGATTCTCCAGAACGGCCCGCTCAACGACATCAAAGCGCTGTCGACTTCCGCCGATAACATGGTCGGCGTGCCGCTGCGGTCCGTCCTGGACGGCCCGTCCTTGATGGTCGTGGCGGTGGAGGGCACGACGACGCGAGGCCGGGAGATGACCGAGTCGGAGCTGAAGGCGGTGCTGGATACGTGCGAGCGGATCTTGAAGCTCGACCGGGAGCGCACCGCGCTGACGGAGAGCATCCAGTCGCGCATGAGCCAGATCGCGCCCAACCTGGCGGCGCTGATCGGCCCGGAGACGGCGGCGCAGTTCCTCAACCAGACGGGTGGTCTACGCGAGCTGGCCAAGATCCCCGCCTGCAACCTCGGGGCGCAGGGCTCGAAGAGAAAGGAAGGATTGGGATTTGCTACGAATCACGGCATCCGGGCCCAGGGCTTCCTCTACAATTCACCCATCATCTCAGAGATCCCGAACGACCTCAAGCGGCAGGCGATCCGCATCGTGTCGGCCAAGATGGTGCTCGCCACGCGCGCCGACGTCTCGAACTACAGCCCCGACGGCTCCCTCGGCGAGGAGCTCAAGCAGCAGTGCTTCCAGCGGTTGGAGAAGCTGACGGAGCCCGCGCCCAACTCGGGAGCCAAGGCGCTTCCCGCGCCAGACGACAAGCCCTCCCGCAAGCGCGGCGGTCGACGGGCCCGCAAGGCGAAGGAGGCCGTCGCGATGACGGAGCTCCGCAAAGCGCAGAACCGGGTTGCCTTCGGCAAGGAAGAAGCAGAGGTGGGGTATGGCACGGGAGAAGGAACGGTCGGACTGGGAATGCTTGGCCAGCAGAACGACGGCCGCATCCGCGCCACGCAGATCGATCAGAGGACCCGGGCCAAGCTCAGCAAAAACAACAAGGGATGGGGCACGGCGACTCCCGTCAGCGGTACCTCGACCTCTCTACGTGCCTTTGGTGGAGGACCCGGCACCAGCGGCACTGCCAGTGTCCTCCAGGCCAGGGGTCTCCGGGCTTCTGGTATCGGTACCTCCTTGGGTGGATCCGCCGGCACGGCCAGTACCATCGCTTTCACGCCGGTGCAAGGATTGGAGCTGGTTGATCCCAAGGTGCAGGCCGAGTTGAACCGCAAGCGCAAGGCGGAGGAAGACCGGTGGTTCAAGTCCGGAACCTTCACTCAGGTTGGCGGGCAGCAGACTCCTGGCAACCCCTCTTCATCACAAGGCCAGAACGGAGGGTTCAAGGTCCCGGCCATGCCTCCGAAGAAGAAGATCGACACCGGCGACGGCAAGATGGCGCCGCCTCCACCGCCGCTGAAGCGGTAGAACCTTTTCCGCGACATTGCTTTGGCTTTTTCCTTTATTTGCTTATTTGTGATCACGAGCATTTTACCGGCGTTTCAAAAGACTAGGCAGCCCTGCATGATACCAATCGAAGAAATTCTGTATGATAAAGTCCCATAAAGAAAAAGAAACAAGACTTGGCAGTCTCATCTTCCGAAATCACTTTTTTTTTACCTTTTTTATTTCATTCTAGAACCCAACAAAGGAATCTACCGTCTGGACAGTATTCAGTAAGTTACTGATTGGTCGTCGGTTCCGATCCCGTGGCGCAAACCACCGACTGAATACTAGGTAGCCATGGATCCGACGGACGATGGTGAAATTGCCTGGCTTGCCGATTCGCAGAGCAAACAACAAGACAGGGCCCCACACGCTTGGTGGTGGCGCAAGACTAGAAAATTTGTTCGTGACAGTTCAACCGATGGAAACTTGGTGTTTGAGATTTCTTGGGACAGGGATGAAGTTTAAAATTTTTTCTGCAGGAGATGGGAAATGTCGCCATTGCTGGCGGCAAAACGTGCGACTGTCCGCCGCGGGAAAGGGAGATCCCTAGCCCTAACCGGATGTTACTTTTTGACGATGTTTTAAGGACTACAGTGTAGAAGTGCACTACACTATATCAAGCCGTATGATCCTGGGGAATCAAGGGTAACTATAGAATATTAAGCGTGAAACTAGCCGACGATCATATCGGGGAGAACGGGGGGGCGAGGAGGAGGGTCTTGTTCAACTCACGGGGAATTATGTGGACCTTTTTTTTTTTTCGTGATTGCCGGCTGGAGTTGTCGGCATATTGCGTGCTTTTGGAGGAATCTCCCCCCATGGGAACGGGGGGGCAGTGGGACGGACCATAGGGAACTGGAGCAGAAGGTAGATTTATTCCATGTCTTGTCGTTCTCTTTTTCTTCTTTTCTCCTTCTCCCAATCCAATCCAATCTAATCCAATCCCTTCAAGCGTTCGTTGCATCCTTCCTTTGTCCGTCAGCATCGCGGCAGTCCCATCCCATACATCAAACCACAGGCGATCACCCCGAAGCCAGGGCACTGGGCACCTGAGAACAATGGCCCCCCAAATAGGCAGACCGCTCTATCCCACCTCCGACACCGAGTCCGTGGAAGAAGAAGAGGCACGGGCTTTACTCCCGACAGCAGGGACAGGGAAGCCTCCCCTCCCACTCCCACTCCACCACCACAGCCTCATCACCACCGACTTCGACGCCCTCCGATTCCACGCCGCCGCCGCCCTGCAATTGCGCTTCTCACTACATCAGACAGAAACAGTGGCAGCAGCGCTCCCAACAGACACCCACCTCATCGTCTCCCCCTACAACCAGCCGGGCCACCTCCTCGACCTCCGCACCCTGGACCGCGCGAACCAGCTCCTCGCGCAGGCCCTCACCATCCTGCAGCCCACGCGGCCCGACTACGCCACCGCGCCCTACACCGAGTCCTTCAACTGGGCCTCCGTGTTCGAGCTGTTACGGCAGCTTGCCCTCGACTCTCAGGCCGAAGATGAGGCAACGTCGTGGCCCGCGCAGAGCTTCTACGTAGTCACCTTCCGCTCGCGACTGCGCGCCGACGTCGACGCCGAGCGGCTGCATCTGCTGGATGCGCATTCGCATCAGGAGGCGATGGCCAGCGGGGGGCTGTTGAAGTATTGGTTCGGGAGTAAGGATGCCAGTCATAGAAATCTGGCGACTTGTGAGTTTTCTTCTCCCCCTGTGGTGTTGGCACAGCATGTGAGGACTCGTTACGGGAGGGTGAGGCTAATCAAAGTGACGGGGACAGGCATCTGGCGAAGTCGGGAGGATGCGCGGCTCGGCGGGTTGGGGCCATGGCATAAGAAGGCTCGCGGCGCGGCGAGGGAGATGTATGAGTCGATTGAGTTCTCGACGGTGCGGTTGACGGTTGGGGAGGGGGTTGCGGGGTGGGAGTTTGGGGAGTGGGTGGATGAGAACTGATGGGGGAGTCGGTGGAATTGGTTAAAAGAGGATTTGGTGATTCATGGTGCTACTGGTTCCGGGCAGTGGGGGTGTTCTGAATGGGTGGTGCTTTTTGTTAAATGATGCGTTTGAGCGGGTGGGTTTCGAGTCGATAGAGTATTCATAATATACCCGATGTTCAGTGATGTACAGCGCAGTATGGCATTGCGTTGGAAGTGAGAGGTTCCTGTGCGCATACAGATGTATACGGCGTAGGTTAGCGGACCAATTTAATGCGACTTGCGGAGTACCCTGGTCGTTGTTGTTCGCACTTATGCACACAGCGTCCACTCGTGGCTGAAAGAAGGTGTATTCCCCGCGCCCGCCACAATCCAGACCCTCCTATTGGAGGAGCAGTCCAGGGACGGCGGCCGAAAAGAGAGATTTTCCACGCGGGATGTGGGGAAAATTGCCCTCGGTTGCGTCGGTTCGGATGATCCGATACGAGAAGACACCAGTCCCCGAGTGATGTTTGGCTTCTGGATGGATGAAAGACCCGGTAGGGCCGCCTTATCGCCCATCAGAATGCGGGGGAAGCTGCACTGGTGCACTGCGATGCTTTCTTATTCATTCGTTCGTCGTGCGTCATGATGGGGACGTGGCGCGGGGCAATCCTCTCTATATAAAGCCCCCCTCCAGACCAACGCAAAGGGGACCGCTTCACCCCAGACTGACTGCAGCTGACTAGTATCTAGCTGTACAGTCTATCGGTGTGACCCTCAACCACTCAACAACACCACCATGGTCGGAGTCCTCCAGGAAACCATCACCGTCAGCGACGGCCCCCTCACCAGCTCGAACGCCGCCCTCCTGCGGCCGTCCGACCCCAACCTGCCCCTGGAGGAACTCCGGCAGCGCTACGAGGCCGACGGCTACCTCTTCCTAAAGCAGGTGATCCCGCGGGCGGACGTGCTCGAGACCCGGCGCCGGTACTTCGCCTACCTGGCGCCGACCGGGGTGCTGAAGGAAGGGTCGGACCCGGTGGAGGGGATCTTCAACCCGAGCAAGTCGGCGGACGACTTCCCGGGCATCGGGGCGGCCAGCGTCGCGGGCAACGGGCGGCCCGGCGGCGACAGCGCGGCCGAGTTCGTCGACCGCGCCATCGAGGCCCACTACAAGGACTGGTACGTCGACCAGCTCTGCAATCACCCCGCCCTGTACGCCTACGTCGCCAACTTCACCGGCTGGGGCGCCAACACCCTCACCTTCAAGCGCACCCTGCTGCGCAACAACACCCCGGGCACCAAGCCCATCGGCGTGCACTACGATCAGATCTTCATTCGCCACGGGGAGCCTACCAGTGTCACGGCCTGGGTGCCGATCGGCGATGTGAAGATCAACGGCGGAGGGTTGATTTATCTGGAAGATAGTATGTCATCTTCTTTGGCAGGTGGGTGCAACGGGCTTGCTAACTGCTACTCCACTGTGCAAAGGTGATTCGGTGGGCAGAAAGATCGAGGACGACTTCACAGTCAAGGCCAAGCAGGCGGGGCTGTCGGACGAAGAGGCCCGGTCGGCCTTCAACTCGAACATGACCGCCAACGCACTGCTGTCGGATGCGCCGGCCGAGTTCGCTAAGGAACACGGTCGTCGCTGGCTGGTCGCGGCGTACGAAGCCGGGGACGTCGTCCTACATAAGCCCCATATGGTACGTTGTTGCCGTCGTCGATGCTTGGTGGGCTCCGCAGGGCATGCTGATCGTCCGGTCTAGATCCACGCCTCGACCGTCAATAATGACCCGGATAATGTCATCCGTCTGGCGACGGATATCCGGTTCTGCGATTCGTCGAAGCCGTACGATAAGGTGGGTGTTCCGGTTGGTTGCTTAGACTAGGGCCTTACTGACAATTCGCAGAGATGGATGAATTTCTATCGGTTCAACGATGGTGTCTAGCGCTGGTTTGCGAGATCCTGAGCCAAAATTGTGGAGGTCGTGTAGTTTCTTAAGTGATGATGCGATGAAATTGTAGACTGCAAGAACGGACGCCTTCTATAGGCAAATTGGCAATAGGGAAGCAACGCAATGAATGTATTCTGTGTCATTCTCCCCATCTAGTCATGCTGCCGAAGCTTCCCTATGTTCCGCTTGCTCATTCTCATCGTCCCCACCGTCATCATTATCTGGGCTGTGAAAGGTACAGTGACAGATCCTAGCATCAGATATAGTTAGCCTCAACACGATCGCCGACGACGGACAGACAGTCCATAGGAGCTTACTCCTGGTCATCGCAGAACCCTCCGGTCCAGCCTCCGCCTTGTGCAATGCACTAACTGATCAGCCTTATCCTTATCCATGCATCATTCACCCGTTGTTGAGGGTCTAGAACAAACGTACGGTATTCCGACAGGCGAGATTCGCGATCTGAATTCCTCCGGGCGTTTGACATGACTTCTGCGCTGCTGCGAGGGCGACTCCGAGGGCCGTGGATTTGGTGGCGAGGGGCACGGCGGAGGCGAGCACCAGGGAGCAGAGGGTTGAAATTGCAAGTAGCTTCATACTGGCCGTAGAAATGGAGATGGCTGGGATAGATGGGATTATGATCGAAGAAAGAAAGGTCCATGCCAGCAGACAAATTTACCACTACGACGAAGCAAGGCTCGAAGGGGTGTTGCCATTGCATAGATCTACTGTGCGGTACATCCGAAGGCAGTGTCGGGGACATTGGGATGGCTACTAGTAGTATAGTATGTAGTAAGTACTGCAATGATGCTCTCACCTGCAAGTCACCAAATGCAAGAAGAAACAAAAGATATCTTCGACAGAATCTAAGCATCGGATCGCATTCACTACATATGACCGATCCGCTGTGAACAAAAATCTCGACAGTTAAGTATGGGGTTGTGTTGCAGTTCCATCCCCACCGCCGGAGATCCGAAGTGCCAAGTGCACGTTAACCTTTACCCTTGCGTTCGGCGAATTGGCGGTGGAAATTTTGGAGCTAAGGTTCAACCCCCCGAACTCGCCAATCCCACGGGGCCCAAGATCCGATCCTGATATGTTCACCCGGAGGATTTGGGAATTCGACCTGAAGAGGGCATTGTCAGTGGATGAGGGCGCTACTGTGCAAATTGGACTAGCTCCCCCTCTTTTTCGGCGGACATCAGGCCAATCGCTGGCGGGGGTCGGAGCAGATCGCAGGCTGATCCAGCTGCATGTCCG